CTTTTGGTTTCGAGCTCAAGTATAGCTGCCTTACCTGAAAACATCAAAATTGAAAAAGGAAGAAGCATATAGGTTAAGATTGTTGCTTAATTCATTCAATCAAGTTAATGACAGGATGAGGTTATGTATGAGCTTTTCCCTAACTACTGACTTCGAATTTTGCAGAACCTTGCTTATCATGGCATTATTTTCTTATTTCTAAAAATATATAACTAAATAAGAAATTGACATTCACTTTACAAATGATAACCTCCAAACAAATTTTTTTCCATCCTGTTTGCTTTTTGTTTCTTTCTCTTTTCCCCCCTTTCACCTTGTTACAACAAGGAAAAGGGGGCACAGACGATTTAGGTATCAATGCAATATGAAACCAGTTCAATGTTGTAGATGAATAAACTGAACTGTAGTTGCAATATTCTATTGAAAATAATAGATGTTATTCATAGAGATATCTATAACAAGAATAGGAAAACTAAGAACAGGAAATTAACCATATAAGAAACCGACTATCGTAAAAGATTACATAGGAAACACCCTATTAATCTCTAACACTCTTCATCAAGTTAAAGCTTTAACTTCATTGGAAAAACAAAATTAAGAGTTAAACAATGTCTAAGTTTACAGTAAATAAAGTAAAAGAAAGAAACTTAAACTAAACAGGAAACAATTTTTTTAAAAATAACTAAACAGGAAACAATAACTTTTAATGTAAAAAGTGACAGGAACCACCAGTATTTAAAAGCTCAATCAATAATACAAAATTTTAATAGGAAGACCTATGAGAAGAAACATTATAGAACAGAGAAGGGAAATAAACATTAGAGAAGGAAATTGTCTAAAGAAAATTACCAAAGAACAATTAAAATTATCTAGGCTTAAAATTAGCAGAAAAAGTAAGAAGGTATGGGAAATCAGCTCTTAGAACAAAAGTAAGACCTATGAAAAAAAAAATAGTAAAAGTTAAGTCCCAGAGTTTCTCTTTTCTTTTTCTTTCTTCTATTGTGGGCAGTGAACGGAAGCTGTGGAAGTTGCTCGACCTAGAAACTTGTTCTGATAACATGCAGATGAAAATACTGAGACATCATTATGATATTGCTCTTATTACAGTGTATTTATAGACATACCTATGCGAAGAAAAGGAAAACTAACAATAGTAAAACTTGTCATTTGGAAGAAGACTATATGAAAAAGATCATATTTTTCTCTAACAAGTAGGCTTCTAGAATTTTTTTGATTGATGATGTTCATACAGACCTTTATCATGCAATCCTGCAAGAGTTACTTCATTCTGTAGCTGCATCAACAAAGAACAAGTTAAAGATTTTAGCAAACCTTTAAAGGGAAGGGATAGAAAGCCATTAAATGATAAAGCACAAACTCTGACTTCAAAAAATATGATAATACAAGGATAGGGAAGATATGAAAGTTAAAGGGGAACCACCAAATTAGAATGCTCATCTACACCTTGATTTAGGCTGATTAGGAATAAAAGTGATTGATGGCACCAAGTAGTTCATTATATAAAAAATGTTTCATATGACTCATATCTGAAAGATAAAAGATTTTCCAAAATAGTTTTTATAGCTAATAACAGGATGAGACCACCCAGCCAGCAAATGATTTTCTCAAGCCAGTTTATATTTTATTCTTGCTTTTATTTCTTAACAAGTTCGAAGATTATCTAACAATAACTCAGATGTGAAAAGTGATTGATGGCACCAAGTAGTTCATTATATAAAAAATGTTTCATATGACTCATATCTGAAAGATAAAAGATTTTCCAAAATAGTTTTTATAGCTAATAACAGGATGAGACCACCCAGCCAGCAAATGATTTTCTCAAGCCAGTTTATATTTTATTCTTGCTTTATTTCTTAACAAGTTCGAAGATTATCTAACAATAACTCAGATGTGAAAAGTGATTGATGGCACCAAGTAGTTCATTATATAAAAAATGTTTCATATGACTCATATCTGAAAGATAAAAGATTTTCCAAAATAGTTTTTATAGCTAATAACAGGATGAGACCACCCAGCCAGCAAATGATTGTCTCAAGCCAGTTTATATTTTATTCTTGCTTTTATTTCTTAACAAGTTCGAAGATTATCTAACAATAACTCAGATGTGAAAAGTGATTGATGGCACCAAGTAGTTCATTATATAAAAAATGTTTCATATGACTCATATCTGAAAGATAAAAGATTTTCCAAAATAGTTTTTATAGCTAATAACAGGATGAGACCACCCAGCCAGCAAATGATTGTCTCAAGCTAGTTTATATTTTATTCTTGCTTTTATTTCTTAACAAGTTCGAAGATTATCTAACAATAACTCAGATGTGAGAAAGCCCAAAGCAAGGCAGACCTGTAAAGTCAATCATCTCCATACTATTTATATTAAAAAAAATATATTTGTTTCTCCAGAAAACATCATCTTGATACTACATTGTAAACAGCATCAAGCTAGAAGGCTTACAGAAGCCTTCGGAGGGAGCGGCTTGTATATTTCTATGTACTGTTGGCCATGCAACAGAAGACGCTTGTCATATCTGGTAAAAACATAAAAACAAAAATGAGGATGAGGTTCACAAGCTTGTGTGCTAAAAAAAATGATAATGATGATTTCAAGAACTAGAAAACAGAAATGCTATTTATGCATATAAAATGACTTCAGTTATCATTTAACAATATGATATATTTTTCTTTTTTAGATAAAAGCAGAATTTTTGTTGAGAAAAGAGGGAAAGAAATATATGGCCAGAGAATAAGACATCCTCATCAATACAATACACAAAAAAAACAAAGAAAACGGCATTAATGGAAAGAGCAAACGTAAATATGGCTACAGTCTATGGGCTCAATATAAATGCTTCCCAGTTGCAGTATAACTCCAATATGCTTGTGTTGGGATAACGTCCGTGTGCTTTGACCCACAAAGATGTGAAAAAAGTTACCCTAATCCACGACTCAATATAAAGGGACATGCCTGTTGATTGAAGACCTGAGAGTTGCATCTAAGTCATATACTCCCCAGTCCAGCAAAGATAACATATTGCCATAACAGTTAAGCTTCTTTTCTCACTCTAACCCCTCCGGGTATGGGTGATTAGAAAAGTCTCCACAGTTAGAGGGTTCATCAGTTAAGACCAAACATTCTAAGAACATTCCACCACTGCTTCCAAGCTATACTTATGTATAACATCTACTAACTAATATAAAAGGTAGTAATTTTATGAAAGGCAAACAAGATTTGGCTGAGATAAAACTGCATCAAATTAAACATACGAAAGACTTGGCACTTCTCAGATGCCATATGTACTTACGGCAATCCTGGCACGCCTGAACCATCTGTCACATATCCGAGTGAAAACAGAGAAGCAAAAGTTGGCAAGACCTGTTCAGAAGGACATAACGACCATGAGTTACTAACTTGGCACATAAATCCCAAATTTAAATCAACCTCTCAGCAACAGCAAGGATAAGACAGAAGTATTATTGGCAAACAAAAAGGGAAGTCCAGCTTTATTATCAGTAATTGTTTGAGGAGAAACAATTGATAATTGTTCAAAATAATCTATTTGATTATTATGTTAATGGGAAGCAACATAAGCAATTAAGAACACCTGGATAAATTGCGGCCCACTTTCATGGTAAGCATATTTAAGCTCGTCCGTATCAACCGGGTTCCGTCCACATGCTCCAACACCCAAAGCATAGATCACTACATCTCTAATTCACAGACAAACATTTTACTGAATAACAAACTGGAGTTTTACAAGTATTTAACTAGTTCTCGAATTTATGCTTCTTAGAGGCCCAAACCTTTCAGTATAAGTGTATATTTTCTGCAACAAAATAAGAATTAAGCATCAGGGTAAAAGAAAAGGTCTGCATAATATTTTTGAGTTATAGATTCGCCAGAGAGAAAGACCAATCACGAATTGTAAAAAAGAACAAAAGAAAAGAAGATAGGAATCTGGGGGGAAAAAAAAAAAAAGCTGAGGGTCAGTTAAAGCGTGAAAAGAACTTCTACCTCCGGGAACTTGTGCGCAAGAACGCGCTCAAAATCGAAGCGTGAACTGTCCGCCATGAAAGCACCCTCTAAAATAAAAGAAGAAACTTTTAATTCCTGCTGACTTTGAGCGCTGAAATGGCGTGCCCGAGCGAGCAGACTTGGGATAAGAAGGACACGGGGTATGGGAACTTGGAGATGTAATGTACAAATGGAGAGATTCTATAGTGATTGTAAGGATTCACTGGATATGGAATCTGTCATTATTCGTCCAAAGCCCACCCCTTTTTTTTTTTTTTTATTAATTACAGAGGCCGCTAGACGACCATGTGTGCCGCTCCAATCCAACATAGAGACCACCAAGAGAGTTGAATAAGCATTTATTGGTATTGCATTTGTATAGTAATTATACATTGATACTATATAATAACATAAGTTTTGCCTCATATTATTATAATTAAACATAGTATATCATTGTGTATTCGTTGTACACTAGATAAATATATGACACCACAAATATCATGTGTGTTTACAATACATCGGGCTCAATAAATTTTTTGAATAGAACAAATATTTTCACTACTTATATTAAACATATTAAACTATTCTTATGGGTAAATTACTCAGTTAAATCTAAATATTAGGTGCAATCGATGCATGCATACAACATGCTAAGAATGATAATAAATTCTCACAAATAGTAAGGTGGAAAACTCTGGTTTAACCCTCTCAGCCGAACCACACTAAATCTCTTTGAAACAACCATAGTTCTGCGACTACAGAAAAACAGCAGCTGAAAGTCATTGCAGGCTAGCACCAAGATTCAACGAAGATCTACTCATAAATATAGAAAGCAAAACTTGGAACATCTACTGCAACCTTTTTTCTCAAATGATAAAACACCCAACACAAGCGTGCTACAAATTTTTCCCACCCAAAATCTCCCTAACCGTGCAAAACAAGATTACAGTACTCATCAGATACCACTTTCTGAAAGAGTCTCTCGTCACAAAAAGGTTCTTCACATTCTATCTTCTCTCCTCCTTGGAGCACATTTGATAATCTCATCTACTCTAAGAATCATCTCCGCTGCCTCAGTTGCTGAGAGCAAAACAGCCTGCTTCACTTTAAAGGCTTCAGAAATACCAAGCTTGGCCATATCTCCCACCTGTCATGATTTTTGAAGATGTACAATGGTTAAAACAAATCACTAGTATTGAAAAGCTATGATAGACATCCTCTGCAAACATAGATGTACGTGTGCGTGCGTGTGTGAAATATGGGCCAAAACCAGATATACCGAAGAAATGAAGCATCCTCTAGAGCAAACTCCAAAAGGTGAAAGGAAAAAGAAGAATCATGTGTGGCTTCATTATCGAGTATGTAGAATTCATGTGGAACTATCCACTGAATGAAATAAACAAACATTTCAAATAGTGCAGTTTAAGTTCTTACAGATCCAGAGATGACATCAATCCCAGCATTGCAGCCTTCCTTATGGTGCTCTGCACGGAGCTGAGCAACTAATTCAGCACTGTCCAGACCAGCATTGTCAGCAATGATTGTCGGAATTGCCACAAGAGCCCGTGAGAAAGCTTCGATAGCATGAGACCTCTTTCCAGGAGTCTTCCGTGCAAGCTCATCCACTTCTTTTGCCATCACCATCTCAGGCCATCCACCTCCAAGCAAAACCCTGCTGTCATTGACTGTCTGGGACAGCACACACAAGGCATCATGAAGAGACCTTTCAGCCTCATCAAGAACATGATGGCTGTCATAGACATTTACACATCAAATGAGACATGTCTAAAATGATCCCCCCTTACAATCCACGTGACTGTATGTGATCAAGTATAATAGAAATCCAGAACTACTTGATAAGAACATGAAGACACCACCTAACCAGTCGATGAGTAACAGAAAAATTAACACGAGAAAAATGTACCTTGCACCTCTTAGAACTATAGTACAAGCCTGACCCATTTCAACACCTGAAAAATGGATCAATTTGTCCTCACCAATCATAATTTCCTCAATGAGCTTGCAGTGCCCAAGCTTAACTGACTCTGGATTGTCAAAGGTTGATGCAATTTCTCCGCCAGTTACCAAAGCCAGCCGCTCAATACCATCAAAATCAGCATGCTCAATTGCAAGTACACCTGCATCCGCAAAGAGTTCCTCTGGGAAATTATATATCAATTGCCTGTTAATGAAGCAGTTAATCCCATGAGCTAGGATCTTTTGCACTTTTTCTCTCATTTTTTCCTTTTCAGCTCCCTCAATCTCCGCAACCTTAGACATGGAATCCACACGTACGCGAGCCCCATAGATCTTCACTTTGTCAGTGTCCATTGCAGTATTTGCAACCAAAATCTTCGCATTCTCAATGCGTTTTGGTTGTCCAACACCTATCTTCTTGTCAAGAATGAATCTGCAAGACAAAATACTTCCAACTTAAAATACTGACAGGAAAGAGATGCTGGAAGGAAAAATATAAAGGTATTAGATTATATTAGTCATAAAGGAAAGGCATATTTAAGGCACTAGTCTACCAGAAAACACGCTAAATAATTTAGAGCATATGCAGAGGATATCTAATACACACTACAAAGAGTATCTTATTGTCTCTTTGGTTGGTTAGAATCTATAAGATGTCTCAACAAAATTAGATATTTTATTATCCAAGCTAAGGAACACGAGAAATATGAGCTACCCTTCATCTAAAAAGGAATCCTTCAGAGATCCTCCAGGCTTCTTGATAATTTGGATAGCCTCCAAGTTTGTACTACCCTGCAATGCTCAGAAGCAATAAGCAAATAGTTAATGAACCTTTTAGTATATTGTCAAACAATATTCATTTCAAAAAAAGAATGTTGTCAAACAATAAAATTCCATTAAAAACAGGTTTTCCAACATAAACACCATGAAAAAGAACAATAAAAAAGAACACCAGATAAAAAGTTATTGCCTGTCTCAAAGGAAAACTTAATGCCAATAGCCAAACAGCAGTAAAGACTTTTCATTAAAAACCAAAAAGCACAAAAGAGTTACAATTACCTTAAGCCTCATGACAGCATCCACAGCTAGTTGAGCAAAATGTACCTTGTCCTGTGACAGTATTTTGGAACTCAAGGTAGTCATTGCTATCTTCATTAAGTCTGACTTAAATTTATCTGCATTATGTGACAATGTCATATATTATTACAACATGAAAACCAACTAGAAGGCACAAAACAAACAAAAGAAAACCTAGTCTGACAATCAGTTCTATTGTCTAGCACATGCCATCCTTATTCTTCCAAGCAGAAAACTACTATTTATCAACCTTAACATTCATGCCATGAAACAAAGCCAAGAAACAATTGAGTGAAGAAACGAGCCAAAAAATAGAAAAGTTCACTACCTGCATTGTCTTTGTTATCTACAACCCTTTGCAGCAGAGCGTTACGAGCACATTCTGCAGCCATTCGATAACCTAAACAACTAATATACATCAGTGCGCTTCAATGTTATATTACACACTAAACAATTTACACAATAGGAGAGGAAGTAAGTATGCTTACCCTTAAAAAAATAAATAAAATAGGGGAAAAAATAATTTACTACTGTTTCTATCAACGAACCAGAGACAAGTATTAAATGATTGATCCAATATTTAAGCGGAAACAACAATCAACCAACTACAAGAAAAAACCAACTAAAAGGGACTGGAATATAACACAGAAGAAATTAGGAAATACAGTTCCATATGTTGGGTTTTGATGAACGAAATAGGAAAAACACCCCTAACCAGCGAGTGAATAATAGCTAGCACTATGATTGAAGAAGCCAAGACAAACCTGATATTATTGTCATAGGATGAATCTTTGCAGCCACCAACTTTTCTGCCTCTCTTAACAGCTCACCAGCCAAAACAACAACAGAAGTTGTCCCATCACCAACTTCATCATCTTGAACTTTAGAAATGTCTGACCATTGAATTAAGGAACAAATCATAGACTAGAAAAAAGCTAGCCCAATGCAACGGCTCTGTCAGTATTGATAACCTCACCAGTAATCAGTTCCATGAGACACACTTATCCAGTAATATCAGCACTCATAATTTGTTTTAAGAAATTAAAAACAACCCCCAGAACATGCATAATTTAGGACAATTACCAGCATAACTTTTACAACCAGGATATAATAAGCCAAAAAATCAGAAATACAACGACAGGGAGGATACCAATAAGGACTTTAGCAGCTGGATTGTCAATATGTAAGGACTTTAAAATGGTAGCCCCATCATTTGTGACAGTGACCGTACGTCCTCTGCCTGTTGATTGTAAAATTTTATCCTGGATAATAATTTTTGAACAAATAATTAGTTCGTCGTCAAAAATATAAACAGCTATTATTAGAGCTTTCAATTTGGTAAGAAAAGTGGAGAGTATACCATTCCCTTAGGACCTAAGGTAGTCTTAACCAAGTCAGCAATCGCCATTGCACCAATAAATGAGGCCTGAAGAAAAAATGACCATAATTAGAATCAGAAGAAGAGAGGAGGTGGGAAAGAGGGACGGAGAACAAGGTCCCCAATGGCCAGGACATAACTATAATGCTAGTCGTAACATTATGTTAGTGACAAGTGCTTCTTCAATGTGTTGCCAGCAAATGCATTATTTAATCACAAATCAGGAACACAACACAACATTTCTAAGAAAGTGAATATCAGTTAGTAAGAACATGTATCAGAGCTCACCATTCTAGCTTTTTCTCCCTTCTCTTCACTTGCTTCATCTTTAAGAATTCTTTCGATCTAAATACATACATCAAGTTAACAGAGTGTCACTATCACATAAAGAAAGAAATGCGAAGAACTTCAAATTGACAGTTTGGAGTTAGAAAACACACCGCCATTGGAAATAACGTCTGGAAGGGTAACTGGAACCTGAATGCTCAGATGCAACTCTAAAACAAAATAACCAATCACGGAAATGCATTTAATACAAGATAACCAATTAAATATCAATTCCATACAAGAAAAAAGAAGAGAGAGAGAGAGAGAGAAACCCTAAACGCTCTCGGCACAAACAATATCGAGAGAGAGACGATCAGTATAACCTAAACAACCAATAGAAACTGAAAAAGGACTAAAAACCCTAACTTTTAGGAACCTAAAGTAAGGCAAATGACACTAGGCTAATACCTGATATTAAGAGAGAGAGAGAGAGAGAGACGATCTATGAAGAGATGTCCAGACCTGGATCCCGCCGAAACCTTGTTGCAGCGTCGCTCTTTAAAAAGAGAACGAGTAATATGGTGCTGTTTGCAAGTATGTTCCCGTGATACGGTGTAGGGTAGTAGTGCTTATTACCGTTGATGGATTCTACGCTCAAGATAGTGCGACTTTCGTAGACAAAAGGACATCATCCCGGACAATCAAGATGGACGGCTGTGATCGGAAGCAGTTATGTGGGCCATAAATACACACGCGCACGCACGCACACAAAAAAAAAAAAAATGAAAAATGAAAATCAATATTAAACTATCACTATTTATTTATTAGATAATTTTTTAAGAACTATCCAATACGAAGTCTCCCGAATTCTCCAAACATTATAAGCTCCATTAGTACAACCAATAATAATAATAATAAATAATATTTAAGATTAAATAAATTTACTATCGGATAGAAAATACTATAAAAATTTTGCATTTAATAATATTTTGTATTTGTTTATTTTTAAAAATAAGATTACTTAAATATAAAAATACACAATTACGATATTTTTTTTATAATTTAATATTTTTTATTTTTTTATTGTACGGCTCTCTTCGTTTCAGTCACGTTTTCATGTAGCAATATAATATAATGATAAAACATATATATATATATCATAATTTTATATAAATTTTATAATTCTTTTTTTTAAACCTTTGAAACAAACTAGTAAAATTCACATAATTGAATAAAAACAATCATAAGATCAACCACCGAGTTGCATCGTAATTGACATGAATTTAGAAATTTCAATTAAAACTATTCGCTAACCATTTTTAACCTCACCAAAATTTGACTATTATTCATGTAATGCAAATGCACGACAAGTTGAAAATGCAAGGTCTTGGTAGAAACTTCAAACCGTTCATGGGATCAAAAGATTATGAGCCCACCAAACCTCCCAGTAACATCACTTGAGATAATTATCACAGGGCTATGTTTTACTTAAACAATACCAATAATTAAGAATACAATCTTCCAGAGAAAAAGAATGTGACCTCGAGCTGAGGTCATTCACCTCATATACGTATAGGAATTTGATATTAGAATCCCCAAAGAAAAACCCTCTTCTCCACTGCCCTTCTCTTCTCCTCTCTTCGTCGAACCAGGCTTAAAGGGGGGACCTCTTACACATCTATTATAGGTCACAGGGGTCGTGTGCGTCGCCCGCTTGCCCTACCACATAGAAGAGCATTCTTTGGAATGGGGTACTCATCCCTTAGAGAAGTTGATGTTGTATAAACACGCAAATAGAATTGTTGTCCGAGGTATTGTCTGGCCCAAAACTCAGACCTTAAGTTCCACATTCCTACATTATCCAGCGCCACGTAAATAGCAGTCCATGACTTGGGATATACCTGCACCAACATTTGTTAAGCATTAACAATTCCCTTAATTTTGTCTTGTAGTCAAGATAGCACGAAGCTCTATTGATTTAGCCGTAAGGGATTATTTGGGTCTCACCTGAGTCGTGCATCGCGAAACTGCATCGCGGAGATTGTACCCGTTCCTACTATCAGGTGTCCATTGCCCACCATCCATACTACATTTCAAAATTACTCAGGTTTCAATCACAAACTCAATTCTTTGAGTAAGGATTCATAGTATTACTCGTGCGCTTACCCGACAACGAAGAAGGAGTAGCCATCGAGGTGATAGCTTTGAACGATGTCCTCGTCGTTCTGGAAAACAATTTCTATAAAAGCTCTATAGTCAGCCTGCATAACTGAGGTGTCCAAATACATTCCTCCGCCTGTTGGGTGGTCAGAGATGCTTCCAACCCGGTAAACGCCACTAATCTGGAAGAAGTCAGCAAGTTTTAGCGGAGTGTCTGCTGGGATAAAGGACACACTGTTAATTGCATATCTTTGCTTGCCATTGATTTGTCCAGCAGAGCTGGCCAACTTGATTGTCCGGGTTGTGTTTATGAGACCATAATGGTAAGAACCCTGGGGGTTCGGTCTTGGTCCACTAGCTGTGAGGTTGGTCCTGAAATAACACAAAAAATATTTAAGTACGAATTCTTAGTTATTTCCTGTACACCAATCTCCGTCTGATCAACGATGATATATATGTACCTAATAGAGCGGGCCTGGTTCAGAGACCAATCAATTTGAATGGTAGGTCCACCTGGGATTGGACCGGAGACTGCGCCGGCAGAGTTACTATAATGAAGAGTGCCTGTAGTTGTGAGGATTGTGTCGGTAAATCGACTGGAGACCACAATATAGTAGTCTTGTGCAGGCTGGTCAGCTGTTAATAGAAATGAGGCAGATTGACCAACATGAAGATCAAATGAAGAGTAGGTAGTTTGGAGTGTGTGTGTCCCCTCCACTTCTACCAATTTCAGTTTGTGGTTTTGAATGCGGAAGTTGAGTGAGTTTTGCAACCCAACATTTGATACTCTAAACCTGTAAGTTTTCCCTGTACCAGAAGTAGATAATCAGAAGAGATTGTCGTGCAAACACGCATTGAAAGAACTGGAAACAACTATTTGATCACATTATACTTCAGAGAAATATTATCTTCTAGCTAAGTACAACTGTAATATAAATGAGAAACGTGCTAATTCTTTTTAGAGCGGTCATATAATAGCAGATAATGTTAGAAGTAGATTGCCGACAATCACGCACCTTGTTCAACAGTGAAAGCAGCACCACTACCGCGACCGTTGATAAGGATTGCATCTGGGAAAGGCAGCTTCTTACCACTGTCAAGATGAGCCTTCAAATCCTGCACAAACAAATTATTTCATGCTATCAGTAATGTGGCCCACAACTAATTAAGCATCAACATATTTCTTTTCTCTATATTTTTTTCTTGATGGGTCACGCACAAGGTCCGAAAGAAATTATCATTTAGTTAATTTTTCCAACTAGACAATTGATGAACTTTTTTAATGAACAAACAGGTGCCGGATATGGGTGGGTACAAGTGTGTTTGTATGGGTCAAGGAAAATTGAATGCACATGCCTGTTTAAGAGACTTAAGGGGGGAAGGGGCGCCATACGCATTGCACATGAATTGATGGGTTCACTGTCAACAGAACACTACCTTCGGCCTTTTTGAACAGTGGGATCCACTGTTTCCTACTCACTGGGTTAGACATATAGGCCCAGATATGTAGTCTTATGGGAAAAAAATGCTTGAGCACGAACCTATGACAACAGATTTGGGCCAGTATTTGGCAAAAAGAAATCGTATATAAGCATAACAGTGTAGGTGGCTGTGCATATTTTATCACCAGGCACCCGTACCAAGAATCTATCTAGTGACATTTCTTGGCGGCACTCGCCACTGTCCAATGCAGTCGTGCATTTCAGTAAAGAAAAAAGAAACCCAAATGCATTACGAGAAGACAAAAGGACACGGAAAACTATCGACCCAGCTGGTAGGCTATGGTATCATGAACTGTTGGCTAAAGAGAGTGATATATCAGGACAACCCAGCTGTCCATTGCCAGAGCCCGAGATTCAATGGCATAAAATAGCCAAATTTACAGAAGAAGGGCCTGGTTGCAGGTTGCTTGCTTACAACAATTAACTAATATGAGGAGAAATAAAGTTTATAGACGACAATATATCAGGACAAGGACAACCCAACTTTTCAGTTTTCAAACCAGTTTGAATGGCAGCGAGAAGCTAAAGAAATTAGAAAGCGAGAACATGAAAAAGATGAATAAATGTGCGAGAAGCAAAAATCGTTGAGGTTACCGTGTGATTGGACTTGTACCAGTCCCCAATCAAAACTGTCCAGTCGCCAGATGGGTCCGGAAAGGGAACAGGGATACGCGGTCTGCTCAGGATCCTAATCCCTCCAAAACCACCAGCAGCTTTGTGGAATGCAAGAGACGGGAAGTAGAAGAAACTTCCTATTTGATCCTTCACTTGGAGAATATAAGTGAAGTTCTTCCCCGGCGGAATTGGACACGTCGTTCCGTACACTCCATCTTCATATGAATTCCTTCTGTTCTGAATCCCACTCCTAACAATAAATTACCACAAAGAGATCAACAAGAAGTAAATCGAATAACTTAAAAGTGTCAAAAATATAAAAAGTAATTTTCATCTATAGGGACATAAAATGCCGAACCTTCAAATTCTCTTTGTATATCCATTAATTTAACTAGTAACTATAAATTTAGTAAAAGTATGATTGATTCATGGGCGCACGAACTGCTGGGTTGATAGAATCCTATCACCTTCATACGTATTTTGGCACATGCGCCATTGGAGTGGAAGACAGCTAATTGGAAAAGTGAAGGGACCCCATCCACATGTCAAGTAGGTTTAAGATTACGTAGCTTGCCAGACACTAGACACTCCAATTAATGCGAACTTCTTCTTCAAAAGAAAATGCAAAAATCGTTAATTGTTGTACTGATTGATTAGATGAATCACTTCCTACTTACAGTATGCCAACTACTACCATACCAACTAGTCTATTGTATAGTTATCATCTCATGATTTAACTAACCCTATCCAGCGAATCAAACGTGTAGAACGGCACCATTAGAATAAATGAAACGACGACGACAGATTTCCGATCTATTCTTCCACGTCTTCTGGTAATAAGCACATGGGGGGTCTCCTCTCACTAAAGGTTCACATGTTAACAGAGAATTTTTTACAGAAAAAAAACAGGAAAGAGGAAAGAGAAATTGAAAATGACGAGGGTATGACAAGTGACATTCTCTCCAATGATCAAATTTATTCACATGCTTGGCGTGTAAAGTAAGATGAGCTTGCCCTGCCCTGTCCTGCCTTTACATAATTATTTCCATGTCCAAATTCCAAATATGTCCCTTCACCAGAAAGCAAAACGACAATTGACTCATGAGGGTATATTTGTCTTTTCAATCGAGGCGAGCTAATCACTGCGCATAATCTTCTGTGGCGTAAAGAGGGAAAGCTAGTCGTTGACGTATTTTGCCACGCGAACTGTACTACTAATATTAGTAAATGGTAACTGCAGTTTTCGTTTTCTCTGTTTTTGAATATGCTAATTTGATCATCTACTGTATCTTTGGTGTAAGCTTGGTTTTCAGATTATTATCTAGAAACTGCATACGATATTCTCTTGATATGACGAAACAACGATCTTATACAAAATCCTAAAAATATATGAACACCAATCTATGTTCGTTCATCGACGTGAATAATGCATAGTTGAACAGATCTCCCACAATTTATGAATTAAAAATGGGCTAAGATGAGTGGAATAATAAAGGGAGGGAGGGATGATACCAGGAAAGGAGAAAAGGCTCGTCGAGACTGTTAAATACGTTGATGATGAGATTATCATTGGTAACAGAGTGGATGTCTGGGCCTGGAAATTGACCATTGATGAGTATACCCTGAAACACGATTTGAATCAGATTAAATCAGATACCAGCGGAAGAGGAGTTAGGAAAAGTCGAACGAGAAATTTCGGCAAACCTGTTGGCGAACACCAAGTGGCCATATGTCTCCGTAAGTAACATTCCAGGAGAAGAATCTGTAGGGATCTTCAGCCGCAGCAATGGCGAGAAGGGAAAGAAAAGCGCACACCACCGCCGAGTTTAGCGGCATTTTCAAACCAATTAGTGAAAAGAGAGAGAGAGAATTAAAAAGAAGTCGAAGAGATCAGTAGGTTTTAAAAAGGGGAAGAAGGGAGATCTAGTAAAATGATGAAGGGTATGGCCGACATTTAAGTGGTGTACAGAGAGAGATGTGATCCCTGTGTAAATTTCCAAGCCGCAAGCAGAATCAAAAAGAAGAGGGAAAATTTCTTTTTGTTTTTTTTTGGGACGAAAGAGTAGAGTGTCGGTGGTGGGGTCCGGGTTCGAACCTTTACTATATGAACTGTGCGTGTCTGTCTCCCACATGGAGCGAAGTGATTGTATATTTTTTTCGGTTTTGGCTTGACGCACTACAAATGCATGTGAAATTTATTTTTCAAAATTTCTTGGCCTTTTACTTTAATCCACATACAATGGCTGTTTATAATAATTAATTAAGATTAGTTTGGTGCAATTATAACAGCTTTTAATGCATTTTATTCCATCAGAACTTCGCAGTTAAAAACGTATTTAAGCAAGAATAGTATTAAAACGGGTGACCTCTTAATAAATTATGTACAATTAAGATTAGTCGAATTTAAATATATTAAAACTAAATAAAGCATGAACTAATTCTATTTAAGATGATAACAAATTAAGTTATTATAAAAATATAAGATATGTGTACATTGAAATATATAGTTATGACCCTACTCTATCTTGAGTATAAGTGAAATTGAAGTCTCTCCATATCACATTAAAGGATTATAAATGGGTAACATCTATAGCTACAAGCTAAGGTGGGTCAAACGTGAATAAAGAGGTGTAAGTACTATAAATATATTTTTTTTTATATTTTTTGATAACGTAGAAGATATGTTAAGGAAGTATAAAAAAAACTAAGAGTTTATTGTTCGTTAACTTAAAAGTTGAACTCGGGTGGATAGATATCATTCTTTAACTTTCATAAAATACTTTGTTTTTTTTTTTATCTCTCAATAATTAAATTTGAGTTTTCACTATATTATGTTTAACGCAACAACAACGAAAATCTAATCGCGAATATTATTTTTTACTTGAATATGTTATGATTTATTAGAATTGATCTAAATTTTATTATAATAAGTTCACTTATGCACTAATAAATTAAATATTTTATTTCGTTGAATAATATATTATTGCATATTATACATCGATCATTAATAATTCATAGTACAATTATAGAATGATAAGTTAACCATTTAAACAACATATTAATGATTGTAAAATATTTTGTTACATAATATTAATACAATATAATATAAGATATTAATTAGGGTGAAAGCACTTGGGTTACTTTTGTGGGTGGGGGGCGATATTAATTAGTGCATGCCCTTTGGCTTTTGCTTTTTATTTTCTCTCTCTTTCCATTTTGGGTGTTCCACCATCAATCATTCCATCTCACCAAATTGATTTGATTTCTCATTTCACTTTAATTTATTTCATTAATAACTCACGTAATATTTCATAAATATATATATATATATATATTACTATAAGTTACGACTAAAATCATTATATTTTAAATAATAATAATAAAAACCTAACATGGATTAAGGTGTGTGATGAATCTTAGGTCTTAGATCTTCCAAAAGACAATTTTTTTTTTTTTTTTTTTTTAAAAAAAGGTGTCTTCAAATGCACATGAATGGTTCCAAGACTTTTATTTATCACCCATATAACAATAATAATAATAATAATAATAAAAGAAGTCACATGCATTTTGGTAAGGCAGTGAGACATTGACATTGGCAGCTTGTGAAGGTTTGACTGCGGTGGTCAGTGGTGACCTATCCGACACACCCACACACACGAATGTAACTTCATACAATTTGACTATTTCTCAAACTTTATGTTAAAATTCTTAGTGTTTGTATTAAATTCCTTTTTCCTATTAAGAAATGAACTGGAAGCAACAAACCCATAATCAATCTTTAACATTACGTCAATTATATTTGAATCATCATCCTTCCATCTCAGCACCCACAATTCTCAAATGATTACAACCATATATACATACATATACACACACATATATATACATATTGCTTTTAAGAAAGTCCAAAATCACTTTTGCCACCTTTTTCCCTCCTAATATACATGTCACGAGTAATTGAATATGAAAATTTTAGATGTTAGATATTAGTAGTTACTTCATAAGGGTAAAATTGTAAATAAAAATATTAATTGATTGATTAGTTGGTTAATTAATTAATTAATTAATTAATAGAAAAGAAAGCAACAGATCAACCTCGCCAGGTCAATTGTCTCCACTTTTTATGGCAGAAAGTAGATGACAACCCAGAACGTGGAAAATCTATACAATAATAATAGTAATGGAAATAATTAAAAAGAATAAAAACTGGGGCCAGTCTCTAATTTTTTTGGTTATAATCTGCTAAAATTTCGGAAATCTATCAGTCTTGCTTGTTGGAGGTGCAAGTCCACACAGATTAGTTCCAGGTTTCATCCTTGTCTAAACAACACAAATGTCCTTTACGAGAAGAACAATTGTCTGGAGTTCCCAACTCAATTCATGGCTGCATCCAATCTCACAAACACTTAACAAGGAAGAATGAGGATCTACATAGAATCTGCAAGGGAGAATTTCAGATCTTCATTTCTCATTTTAATCCAATGGGATTGGAAAAGTATTAAAAGTAAATGCTCCTTTTCACGGAATCAAACACAGCTTCTTTGTTCATAAGCTGAGCAAAAGGTGGTAAAAACTTCAAAAGAAGAATTCAAACTGCTCTAAATTCAACTTCAACCCGAACACTACTAGTCTCACTTAACAAAGGACCAAGTGAAATTTTGGTTTATAAGATGTCTCATCGGGCCTCTTTCTTCTATAAAATCCTCCGGTCTAAAGTATTAAGCATAATTGATTTTGACGTTCGAGCCTACGAACATGACTACCATTATCCGATAAAGCCTCATTCTCTTAACAGGCTACTACTAGCTGATCACAACACTCAGACCACTTTAGTGCAAGGATCTCAGCATTCAGCTACTAGGTAGGAGGGGGTGCAGAAAAATAATGTAAATACACAACAGAGTAGGAGATGGAAAGTCATGTACCAGCACTCGAGGTAAAAGGGTATCAACCGAATTGCAAGATCCACTGCTTGTTCACCCAAGAAGGCAAGGGAAGCCTTGCAAGCACGAATTGCCATCATAGCTACCATGAAAAATTTTCGTTCCATGATAAAAATCCCAGCTAATCAATCAACTATTTTACGCACCTGTCAGTATCACAATTTTCAGCTGATCATGTAATTTTTGTAAATCTATATTCTCCACGATCCTTTCTCCTCACACAAACCACTCAGCCCGTAATAATGCTGTTTTAGGTCTCATCCAATGCCATTCTAACAGCAAAAAGCATAAAAGATCAAGAATACTTCCAACAAAAGAAAAACATAAAAGATCAAGGAAAAACCATGAACACAAGATAGACCTAAAACCTGTTCATCGGGTTCCAAGGAGCTAGTGAGATTCTGATTGAAGTAGAGCACAAACTAATAGCTGAACTAAAAACGTCCCGACAAAAACAGAAATGATCAAGCAGCAGGGCGATGAAGAAATCCACAAAATGATCGATATATAAGCATAATCAGAAAAAAGAAAAAGGAAGTTATAGTCTAGTCCTGAGCTGTTAACCTAAAAATGTCACGCCTGTAATATGCACAAATGCATTAACAGTAACTAATGGGACATGCAAATCCCTATTAGAGTCGCATTAACACTGAATCCAAACACGAGATCGAAATGCGTAATCCAAATTGCTACAGAAGACGAAACCCAGAGGAGCAGAATACACAAACGAAGAGGAAGAGACAAAATAGATAGAGAACCTTAAACGAGGTAAGAGACTAAAGAGTAAAGGTCGATCAAGTAACCCATCTTCGTATTTGTTCAATTCTGTGCATATCGAGATCATGCAAAACCATGTGAATATTGTTCCAGATTTGTTATTACTAAAGAAACACAAAAACATCCGAAAAAAACCCTAATCTCACTTGGGTAATCAATCAGTCAATCGTCGCCACCGAAGAGAAGGCGGAGCCGAGAAGCGAAGAGGCCAGTAGGATCAAGGGAAGCTTCGTGAAGCAGGCCGGTCTTGATGTGCTTCATGCGGTCGGCTAGAGTTTGTCGCTCCTCCTTAAGGGCTAACGTGTCTTCTTCGAGGTCGTGAATACGATACTTTTGACCCAACGATCTGATGCTCAAAAGCAATATCCCCGTCATTGCGAAGAACTGAATGAAGCTATCTTTGCGTTTCATTGCATTCGCTATAAACCCTAGAGTCTTTTTAGGGTTTTGGGCGGACGTGGCCGAGCTCGGTGAAGCGGAGGAGGCCATCGGGCGTAAGTTAGGAGCGACGGAGACTATGTTTGGTTGCGGAAGATCCTCAAATGGTGAGAGTCGTAGATGACGAGACAAAATGAAACATAAACCGGTGCGTTTTAAGGCCCAACACAGCTGCTCCCGCGGTAGGAAACAAATACAAACATAAGATGCAATTTTGGAAACTGAAATACCTTTCTACCGTTTAAAAATGGGGAAAACATACTTCTGATTTTATTTTAGTTTAAACTATGTAAGTATTAACAGCTTAATATTTAGTTATTTTACAGTATCCAAGATCTTAAAGTTATTTTTCTTTCTACTTCGGAATTTGACATATCATTATATAAAAACATAAAACAGTTCTAAAAGCAGTTATAAGATAAAACTCAGAGTACAAATTTGCTAAAAACAGATCTCGGAAAATTTCGAGCAAGAACGATAAGCATTACAACAAGGCACCAAATTATATGGTGCCTCTACTACTCTTCCTTAGTCTTTCCTCTTCTTTGTGGGAGCAATAGAATGCTGTAATCCCCCTATGGTGTCAAAAAATATTCAGTGGCAAATATGAAAATGAAATTTAATTTCAGCCCTCAATCCAAACCGAGCATATTTTTGCCCCATCATTTCCGGCAAGCAAAGTATAACTGCACTCATTCAACACTAGAAGTCCAAACTTCCACATTGTTTGCTCTCAATACTTTTTATACTACTCTGTTTCATATCCTTCTGCTCATCATTGACGCCTCGAGTACGCCCAATGCCCATCCTTGGCAAACCCCGGTTTAGTCCCTCCAATAAAACACAGGCTTTACACCACTTCTGCACAACGAATGTTAATAAAGCAATACGCTTGTCCATCATTCATGTCTGTCAAATTTGGAATGCGTCAAAGAAGGCTCACATGAACTAAGCAAGATTTACCTGGCTAGAAATGTAGCCACATCGTTCACAGGTTCCCTGCTCTGGCATCTTTGTATATGTAGAAATTCTGAAATTCTCGCCTGATTTGATGATATCAAGTATAGCCCTTGGTCTACATCATTCAGACAAAACCATCAAACTTTATTGTCTCTAGACTACGAGCAAAACTGTTACGGTGTACAATAAAAGTAAAATAGTAGTTGACAGAATTTTTGTTAGGATATTCACACATGAATAACTTGATAGACAGCTGGTGCATGAACAGTTTTTGTTTTCCTTGTATGTGGGAATTGGTTAGTTCAGTAAAGGGAAGTTGCCAACTCTTTACGTGCAGTTGTATGCCCTCATCTTGTCCTAGAATGTGTATATTTATAATCAGTTCAAAAAGAAATAAAAGGGTAAGCATAATTTTAGAAAATTTAAGTATCTTTGTTCCTCAAAGAGAGTGCTGGGTCATCTCTTAATGAGCCCAAACTTTTATAGACAGAATAGGTTAGAAAAGGAGAAGATTGCAGATTTATTCTGAAATTTCTTATTTCTGATTATTTCAATTTCAAGTCACATAACCAATTCAGGGAAAGGAAGATACAATTTGGTATCAGAGTAGTGATTATTTGAAGAGATTGAAGGTTCTCTCTTAGTGAACTCTTACTTTCATATTCAAGAGGCACTTAAATGGAGAAAGATATTGGCAAGTTACTTCAGCAGAGATTATTTTGGATTTTAATTACTCTCCGTGGTTAAAGATTTGGATGTGGATCTATTTCTGAATACTGACAGTCGCAAAGGTTGAAGGTTTTGTTGTGGATCTACTAAAGAATCCTGACAGTAATACAGAAGTGATGGATGTTGCCCGACTTTCTATATATTTCATCCAAGTGAATCGAGTCCAGAAGCAAAGGCATCTTGGGAACCAGCAGCTTTATCTTACTTTGGCACTTCAGGACAAGCTTGTTTTCAAGGGAGAAAGTGTTCTCATTAGGATATTCATACATGACAGTAACATGATAGCCTGTTGCTGTCTGAACAGTTCACGTTTTGCTTATTTAATTTTATCTGCATTAGTTTTTGTTTTGCTTGTATGTCGGAGTTGGTTCCTTCAGTAAGGAAGTTAGCTACTCTTAAGAAATAGTTGTATGTCCTAACATTGTTGAAGAAATTTGAGAGGAAATGTTGCTTCTCATCTATCTTTTTTTTTTTTTTTTTTTATCATGAATGATGGGTATTTATACACCCTAAATGCTAACAAACCTAACAAAATTCTAACAATTTTATGGGGAGAAGGAAATCTGTTTGTAACTTCCTCCGTATACAGCAAATAAAAAAAAAAAGAAACAAAAAATATATAACCTAATTTCTTATTATTTTTCTACACTCCCCCTCAATCTAGTTTACATATATGTTGAGTAAAACTAAATTGGATGTTGTCATCGAAAGTTCTTTTAGATAAAGCTTTCGTTAGAATGTCTGCAATCTGTTGACTGGTTGAAATGTGCATCAGTGTTATAGTTCCATTTTCTAATTTCTCTTTGATAAAATAACGATCGATCTCCACATGTTTGGTTCTGTCATGATGTATAGAGTTTTTGGTCATACGGATGATTGATTAATTGTCGCACCACACCTTCATAAGCACGTTGTTAGGGGCCTTTAATTCGACAAGTATTCTCTTTCATACCTTCACATATTCCATGAGCAAGGGCCCTAAATTCAAATTCTGCACTGCTGCGAGATATAACTGATTGTTTCTTACTTCGCCAGGTGACCAGGTTCCCTCTAAACATAAGTACAATATCCTGATGTAAATCTTCTATTATTTGTAGAGCCTGCCCAATCTGCATCAGTGTAAATTTCAACATCTCTTTTATTTGTCTTTTGAAAGAACAATCCTTGTTCGGGTGTCTTTTTAAGATATCTCAAAATTCGATACACAGTTCTCATGTGTTTCTCAGTTGGCTGATTCATGAACTGACTTACTGTACTCACTGCAAAGCTGATGTCAGGTCTTGTATGCGCTAGGTAGATAAACTTCCCAACAAGTCTTTGGTACCTCCCTTTATTAACTGTTTTATCACTGTTTTTGGATCCAAGTTTAATGGTTGAATCCATAGAAGTGTCAACAGGCTTGCTTCTTAACATCCCAGTCTCCTTTAGGAGATTCAGAACGTACTTTCGTTGAGATATTGAAATTCCTTTCTTAGATCTAGCCACTTCCATACCAAGAAAGTACTTCAGCATCCCTAAATTTTTAATTTCAAATTCTTGGGTTAGAAATTGCTTGAGTTTCTGAATCTCCTCAATGTGATCACCTGTAAGAATGATGTCATCTACGTATACAATCAAAATGGCTTTCTTACCTGAGGTGCAATGTTTGACAAATAGTGTATGATCGGATTGACATTGTTCATATCCTTCATATTTTACAGCTCTTGTTAATCTATCAAACCATGCACTTGGAGATTGTTCTAAGCCATAGAGTGATTTCTTCAATTTGTACACTTTCTGAGGATTATCTGTTAGTTCAAACCCTGATGGTATATTCATATATACTTCTTCCTCTAGATCACCATCAAGAAATACATTCTTCACATCTAGTTGGTAAAATGGCCAATCAAGATTAGATGCAAGTGAAAGAAGTACCCGAATAATATTGTGTTTGGCTACTGAAATAAAGGTCTTTTGATAGTCTACTCCATATGACTGAGTGTAGCCTTTGGTTACCAGTCGAGCCTTATACCGATTCACACTCCTATTTGGATTATATTTAGTTGTGAAGACCCATTTGCACCCCACTTGGTGTTTTCCTGGAGGTAAGTCCACTAATTCCCATGTTTTATTCTTTTCAAATGCCTTGATTTCCTCTTTAACAACTATCTTCCGTTCAAGTATTTACAAAGCTTCATGAATTGTTTTGGGCATTGGTGAACTATTGTCTATCCTGCATATAAAAGCATGATGCTTCGAAGACAGCTTGTCCAAAGAAACATAATCTTATATAGGATATTTAGTGCATGTTCGAGTCCCCTTTCTCAAAATAATAGGAACATCAATATCAGTATCTGAAGTAAAAGCAGAGATTACATTACCTGGATCCAGGGTGGATTCATGGCAGGGCTTGGATGATTCGGGTGCTTTTTCTTTGTTTCTTCTAGTATAGACACGTAGCTCACTAGCTGCAGGTAATGTGTTCTCTGTAACTAGCTTTGGTTCAGATTCTAGGGAAGGTTTGTCTGGTGAGAAATGACTCTGTGGATATAGAGGAGGTATACTCACATCCCATAACTGATATTCCTAAGTAAATGTCTCCCCCTGAATATCAGTTATGGGGTAAAAAGATTGATTTTAAAAAAATGTGACATTCATTGTATTATAGAAGCGACAGGTTTCCGGCACTAAACACTTGTAGCATTTCTGATTAACAGAGTACCCAATAAAATAGCATTTTATGGCTCTTGGGTCAAGTTTCCCACGGAGGTGTGTGTGAATATGGACATAAGCTGAACAACCAAAAACTTTGAGTGGTAATGTATTTAAAATATGAGATGTAAGAAAGGTTTGTGAAAGAATGGCATAAGGCGATTGAAATTGTAAGATCCGGGAAGGCATCCGATTTATCAAGTAGATAGCCGAAAGAACTGCCTCTCCCTAGAGGAATTTTGGTACATGAGTGGTGAACATAATTGATCTAACTACTTCAAGAATATGTCAAATTTTTCCCTTCGATTATGCCATTTTGTTGTGGGGTATAAACACAAGAGCTTTAGTGAATAATTCCATGTTCAGTAAAGTATTTTTCAAGGGTGGCTTCAAAATATTCACAAGCATTGTCAGATTTCAACACTTGGATAGTAGCTTGAAATTGGGTTCGAATCATTGTATGGAATTTTTTAAATAGAGATCCAACTTCTGATTTTTCTTTCATAAGAAATACCCACGTAATTCTTGTATGGTCATCAATGAAGAATACAAACCATCTAGTTTCGGTGATATTAGGGATCTTGGATGGTCCCCATACATTACTATGAATCAATGTAAACTGTTTTGATGATTTGTATGGTAAACTAGGGAATGAACTTCGAACATGTTTAGAAAATTGGCATACTTCACACTGAAAATAAACTGGATATTTTTCTTTGAATAGCGAAGGAAACTTCCTTTTTAGATACATAAAATTTGGATGTTCTAGTCTATAGTGTCATAACATGATATCATGATCATTATTTGCATAAACAGAGTTTGCACATACTGCTTTGTGAGCTTGTCTTCTAGAAGTGTTGATTTGAAGCAGGTATAATCCTGAGCTCATCCTAGCACTGTCAATCGTCTTCTCCGAGTCCAAGTCTTGAAATTCACACATATTATGGACAAATTTTGCAGTACATTTTAAGTCTTCACATAACTTACTAACTGATAGTAAATTACAATCCAAATTTAGAATATAGAGAACTGAACATAGAGTTAAATTTGGAGATAAATTTACAAAGCCCATTCCAGCTACTTTTGAAAGAGAACTATCAACAATTCTGATTGAAAAAATTTCTTCACACTTGCTGTATTTATGAAATATTGAGGCATCTCCACTCATATGGTCAGAAGCTCCAGAGTCTACTATCCACACATGTCCTTTTTCTGGAAAAATAGATAAACCAAGGATATTACCTTTGTGTGCCACAGAGGCACTGACCGGGTAGAAATTTTTTGACAAAATATGCTAGAGGGCTTCCAGCTATTCAGGATTGAAAGGGCTGCTCTCCATAGCACAAGAGAGCATTTCTTTAGCAATTACATGATTGCCCTGATGTTTGCTTGAGGTTTCTGCCTTAGCGGATTTCCACTCACTGAAGGCTTTCCAGTCATTTGGCTTCCCATGAAGCTTCCAGAAGCGCTCACGAGTATGCCCTAGATTCTTACAGTGATCACACTAGGGCCTCATCTTCTTCGTTCGAGCGTCGACAGCTCAAGTTGTGAATGCTGAAGAGTCTTCGGCCAGGTGGGTCTGCTCAACATCAACCATCATAACCTTCTTGCGGCTCTGTTCGCGTCGGACTTCAAAGAACGCCTCCCGAAGACTCGGCAAGGGTTTGGTACTCAACACGCATCCTTGAATCTCGTCGAGATTCCTGTTCAACCGCAGCAAGAATTTGAAGACATGTTTCTTTTCGACGAACGATTTGAAGTTCTTCGCATCTTCGGGGCAGCTCCATCGACGCTCTTCGAATGTATCCATCTGCTGCCAGTTACGAGTTAAAGCGTTGTAATACTGAGTGACGCTTAACTTGCTTTGCCGAAGATCATGAAGCACGGACTCTATCTCAAAAATGGCGGAAGTGTTTTCTTTGCTGGAGTAAAATTCCTGAGCTGCTTTTCAGATTTTGTGAGCAGTTTCATAGAGTAAAAAATTCTCTCCAATTTCTGGGGTCATTGACGTGATGAGCCACGACATCACCATGTTGTCTTCAATCTCCCATACGTGAGTGCTTGAGTCAGTCGCTGGAGGAGATACAACTTCGCCAGTAAGATGTCCGTAGTGACCCTTCCTTCGGATGAACTATCGAACAGAGGACGACCACTGTAGGTAATTACTGCCGTTGAGTTTGTGTCCTATAATGCAGGACGAAGACATCTCACTCGCAATGTTGCTGGTTGCTGTGTGATGATAGAAACCAGAGGAGACCTCTGGAGAAGACGGAAGCTCGCCTGTGGCCATTTGTGATTACAGCTCAGCAGGGATCACCCTTCTTGGATCTGGTATAGTTCTGATACTATGAAGAAATTTGAGAAGAAATGTTGCCTCTCATCTATCTTTTTTTTTCATCATGAATGATGGGTATTTATACACCCTAAATGCTAACAAAGCCAACAAATTCTAACAAGATTCTAATAATTTTATGGGGAGGAGGAAATCTGTTTGTAACTTCCTCCGTAGACAGCAAATAAAAAAAAAAGAAACAGAAAATATACAACCTAATTTCTTCTTATTTTCTACAATTGTCCTAGAATGGGTACATCTATAACCATTTCTGGAAGGAATAAATGTGTAGGCAAATAATAATTTCAGACAGTTTTGAGTACTTTTCTTTTTATTGTTGGGTTCTCTCGTAATGAACCCAAACTTTTCCAGACACAGAAGGTTAGAAAAGAAGAAGACTGTGGATACATTCTGCAATCTCATTTTTCTGATTTTTCTGTTTCAAGTACTATGACCATACAAGGAATTAGAAAGAGAAACCAAAGAGCAAAAGTGATTTGTGTCTTTTTCTCAAGATTTATCAAATCAATAATCGGAAAAGTGATTGACCTTATTCTTTCCAAATCTTTGATGAACTCACGGGCAAATCCACGATATGCATTTGGAGAGTATATGCCTGCAGCTCAAAAATACCAATTCTTAATTTGCAAAAATAAATTATAAAAGAAAAAAACAACCAGAAAAAGAAAGAAATGGGAAAACAATAATTACATTCTGTGGAGAAGTAGTCAAGCCTCTTGAAATAAGCATACGTGGACATCTGTTAAGGTGCCAAGACATCTCAACTCCAAACTAACATTATTAGGTTTCCATCTAACACAAATTTCTAATAAAAGGATATATCACAATCTCCTTTTCGTAAGTGTACTTAAAAGGTTTGCATCGTGGGATTGGTCCATCTTCACCAGTAGTTATTGATGTGCATCTACTCAGTCTAAAATGTCAAAGGCATAAACTCAGTTTCCTTACCAAAAGAGGATACGAGTACAACCATGAAAGAAATAAATTAAATAGTGCGTCACTACCTAGCGATATCCCCACGCAATATGTTTAAGAGAACTGTTTCGGCAATGTCATCTGCATTATGTCCTGTAGCCACCTTATCTACTTTCAATAATGCAGCACCTCGATCAAGAGCCTTAAAGAAATCCATAAATATTTCAATCTTTAATCAACAGAATGTAATAAGGGCTAATGTGTGGTTAAACCAGCAACAAATCTGCACGAGGATGCACCAAAATGAATGCCTATTCCTATTGAATATAAATATGGAGTCCAGCCATGCCAACAAAGACAAATGCATAGTGGTATCATGCATAAACAAATACGCCAATGCCATTTAATTTAGAACTTGATTCTGCTTTACAACAGAATGTTCAAAACTCAAAAAGGAGATAGTAGATATATTCATGGATTCTGGAGAAAATTTGAAAGGTTTGAAAATGGAATTAACCTTTTCCAAAATAATTAATAAACCACCTGCTAAAGGTGCAATAAAAGTCAAAACTACTGGAAACATTCCGTGGATGCCTTTGACATGAGGCCTAAATTGCTATTGACTGCTTGGCTGACTATCAGAACCATGAAAAGAAACCTAAA